CATGCGGTAGTTGTTTAGCCGTTGACCTCGGGGGGGGGGGTATTTGAGGGTCTAGTGGGGCGTTGGTTTTGTAGTGCTGAGCAGGGGCTGGGGGTGACGACGAAGGCGAAGGCGACAATGGCGGCACACGCTTGTTTCGAAGGAGTCGCGACAACCAGACAGGTGCACGTCGGCAAAAGATGCTATTATAGATCCTAAAACATCAACCGTCACTTCTGTGAAAGGTCGCGACCAGATCCCAGGGTCCTCGTGCCATGACTACGCACACCTCTCACAAAAATATTCTGCTGGGTTCTATTGTCTAACTCACCAAAACATCCATTCAAAAATCACAGGATCTCACGCAAAAAATAATTTCGTGGCAAGCAAAAAGATCGTCCGTTTAGCCAGGCAGTCCGCAGGCCCGCCGTCCGCTTGTGGGCCTCGGACGCTACCCGAGAAACCGATCAATCGATCGATCGATCGATCGATCTCCTCTCCCACCTGTACGAGGCCTTTCTTGGACTTGCTGACGCCGCCCACGCCGCCCTTGTTGATCACGCGGATCCCTCGCCCGCAGCTGCTGGCCGGGGGCTTGACGATCCAGATCGCCCGCGGCTCCGCCTCCACCGCCTTGAGCCACGCTCGTCTGTCGACACCCCCCACGGGAAAGACAGAGAAAATCAATATATATGTACTTCATACCTCGCTGCCAGAAACAGAGGTGGGACGATACACACATACTTTTGCACGCAAGTACGCCATGCGACTGTTGAATTTGTTTATTGTTTCTGACGTACTGGCAGCTGCTGTTGGTATCTTTGTACTTCGAAGTAGGAAATATGACTGTTTCACGATGTTCAAGGGGCGGTTCAGTCGCGATGCTCATCGAAGTGCGACAAAAACAGAAGCGCCGTCCACATAGGTCGCTTTTTCTCGTTTGTCGACAGGACAGGAGCGAGAGAGGGAGCCCACCGCCGAAACCTCCGAAAAAGTTGAAAGAATGAAGTTCAGAAAAGCACCGCAGCGCAACAACCCAAATGCTCAAATCACGGCGAACTGCCGCTGATATTCCCGGCAAGGAATGTTGGCGAGCGATTTCCGATTGCAGGCAAGTGTGGCAAGATCTACCTGCCACTTTACAAGACCTCACCCCGAAAAAATTGTGGTGCTGCATGCTCAATGTGCGCCAAACTCTCCAAGGTCAGTACATGCACCTCGCTTCCGTTTTGGGTGTCCAGGAATGTTTGGTGGCGTGTGCCATCTTCCTCGGTTCACTCGTGCTTGCTTGCCGTGCACTCGCGCCAGACAACAACAACGGCCACAACAACAACAACAACGGCCACAACAACAACAGCCACAACACGACTTCACACCTCCTCTCGCTCATGCGGTTCTTTCCCACCCACCTATCCCCCGGCAGCACGAAACCGTCTGGGGTGATATCCACCAAGCTTCCGGCAGCCGGCCCCTCCGCCGCACCCCCCCCCCCCGACCGGGAACCCCCCCCTCCCCCGCCCCCGCCCACGCTGCCACCACCTTTTTGAACACCCCCAGACGCTGGCGCTGTTGCCGCCGCTGCCACCGCCGCTGCCGCCGCCGCGCCGTTCATCTCCCGCTTGTGCCTCGCCAGGGTGCGCATCAGCCTGTCCTTTCGGCCGATGCACCAGGACCCCGGGAAGTGATTGATTTTCTGGAAACGGTTCAGGTTCCTGGCAGTGGACAACGGGGAGGCCAGCGTCGTTTCGTGCGTGTTTTGGAAAAAGAGGGCGGGGCGAGGTTGGGGCGAAACAACGGAAGCGAAATACATACTGCAGTGTTGAGAATGACAATTGAAGCCAGACGAGGGAGGGGGGGGGGGTGTTCTTGGCCTGTTTTGAGGGCCGCCGCCTAGTCGTCACATCGCAAATTCCGGTGCTTGCTGCTGTGTCCTAAGTTCTCAGTTGGGTCGGGGCTTGTCCTGC